ACCGCGAGTACTCCTGCGTGTGTCAGAGATGTGGGTGTAGCTGATGGAGGGGCCCCAACACCATAGCCCCCTCCTGGCAGGGGGCACAAGGGTAGCGAGAGGTTTTGTGACGTGATTTCTGCAGAGTGTTTTTACCTGCTGCTAATCTGAACTCCAGAGATATTCCCGCTGTTCTACACTTAGCATAAGAAGTCTAAGATAGGGAAAAGTCTGCAAACCGGGGTCAAAACATTCAAGCTGGGCTTGTTCAGCCTGAAGAAGAGAAGGCTGCGAGGGGACCTAATATACACTGACAAATATCTGAAGGGTGGGGGTCAGGAGGATGGGGCCAAGCTCTTTTCAGTGGTGCCCAGTGACAGGACAAGGGGCAACGGGCACAAACTGAAGCAGAGGAAGATCCAGCTGAACGCTGCCCAGGGAGGCTGTGGAGTCTCCTTCTCTGGAGATATTCCAGACCCACCTGGACAAGGTCCTTTACAGCCTACTGTAGGTGACCCTGCTTGGGCAGGGGGTTGGACTAGATGACCCACAGAGGGCCCTTCCAACCTCTACCATTCTGTGATTCTGTGATTTGTCCAGTAGGAATAGGGACATTGTCCAAACTTCATGCCTGCAGGAGCCTCATGAAGTCTGATTTTTATAATTTAGTTGCATGTCTTCATGAGATTAAGCACTCTCTTCATGTTTTCAATCAAGACACGCTGCCCTGACTCGACCAGAGGAGTTGTCGTACCAGGTTATCAACATAGAAGCCACGCAGGTACGTACGGCGCGGTTCAGGTCGTTGATGCTCATCGCCCTGCCTTGCGGGGAGCCGGGTTCCACCCCGAGCGGTGGCTCCAGAAAGACGTGGGTCCCCATTTCAGCGAAGCGTACAGGTGGGCAGCGGCAGCGTGTGGAGCCAGGCGGTGGAGTCGGTGACTGCTTAATAAGAGAGCTTGAAACCTGACCGCTGTTCGAGCGCGTTTCCAGCCGCGCAGGACGGAGAACCGTTCCTGCAGCCCCTGCGGCGGGGCGCGTCCCAGTGCC